AGAGTGACAAAGTAAGACTCTGTCTCAAAAAAAGAAAGAAAGATATGTTCTTAACACAAAGAAATGATAAATATTTGTGATGACATATATCCTATTACCCCAATTTGATCATTACACATGATGTATTGAAATATCAGAAATATGTACAATTATTATGTATCCATAATTGAAAATTTAAAAATTTAAATAAGAAAGTTAATATGTAAAAAGTGTAACATTATAAATCTCCAAAACTCTGCATCCTTAAATATCCACTATGAATATTTTGGTGAACATCCTTCCAGATTTCTTACTATTGTACCCAAATGAGGCTATACTGCTATACTATTCCACACTGATTTTTAGTTTCTTGCTCATTTTCCTTAGGCCAGCACTGTGGTCCACCGTCTCCTTAAATACATACATACATACATACATATGTATATTTGTTTCTTTGTTTTTTAGAGACAGAGTCTCATTCTATTGCCTAGGCTGGAGTGCCATGGAACATAGTTCACAGCCTCAAACTCCTGAGCTTAAGCAATTCTCCTGCCTCAGCCTCCAAAAGAGCTAGAACTACAGGCACACACCACCATCCACAACTAATTATAAAAAGTCTTGGGGTGGCACCTGTGGCTCAGTGGGTAGGGTGCTGGCCCCATATACTGAGGATGGCGGGTTCAAACCCAACGCCGGCCAAACTGCAACAAAAAAAAAGCTGGGCGTTGTGATGGGCCCCTGTAGTCCCAGCTACTTGGGAGGCTGAGGTAAGAGAATCACCTATGCCCAGGAGTTGGAGGTTGCTGTGAGCAGTGTGATGTCATGGCACTCTACTGAGGGCAATAAAGTGAGACTCTGTCTGTATGAAAAAGAAAAAGCCTTTTGCAGAAACTGTGTATTGCACTGTTGCCCAGGCTGGTCTTGAACTCTTGGCCTCAAGCAATCCTTCTACCTAAAGTGCTGGGATCACAGGCATCATGATCCACCAACCTCAGCCTTTAAAAATATTTTTAAAGGCAGAACTGTAGTGTAAGTTAAATATCCAAACAATGCTCTAGAGAGGCCAAACCCACTTGTACTCCAGGGGACTGTAAATTTGAGGGTCCTTCCGGGGACACCCCCCAGGGGCCCAGGGCCGGCAGTACACAAGTACCTCCCGGAAGCTGAGCTTGCCATCAAAGTCCTCATCCACCTCCTTGATCATGCTCTTCAGGCCCAAGTGAGTCTGAGGGGCCCCCAGCTTCTCCATCATCAGCTTCAGCTCCATCAGGTCAATGAAGCCATCTCTCCCAGCGTCATACCTGTAGGGTCACAGGAAGGTATGGCTAAGACATAAGGACACTTGTTAGTCTACAAACCCCTGGTCAGAAAGGACCGTTTCTCCTCTAAACACCTTTGGGCTTTGTAGGACTCAAAGTGGACCTTGAACTTCATGATGGTTTACATGTCTTTAACTCCTCAACTAGGCCATTAAGTTTTTAGTGTGTGAAAAATATGCTTTTTTTTTTAGAGACAGAGTCTTACTTTATTGCCCTCAGTAGAGTGCCGTGGTGTCACAGTTCACAGCAACCTCCAACTCCTGGGCTTAGGGGATTGTCTTGCCTCAGCCTCCTGAGTAGCTGGAACTATAGGCGCTCACCACAATGCCCGGCTAAAAAAATATGCCTTTTTTACCTTTATTTCCCACAGTGTTGCTCAACAAACATCAACTGAGCACCTCCTGAGAGCTGGACCCTCACACGCAGAAGGCAGCCTCCTCTTTCTTGGTCACTGTCCCTGCACACCCATTTCCAACAAACTGCCCTCATCCTGCTCTTCCCGGTCTGTTTGTGAGTTCAGTTTTGTTCTTCAACCTCTGGTTCCCTCATCTCATCTCCAGGTCTGAACAGTCACATCTGTGTGGGTCACTGTCCCTATGCTCACTGTCCCCCCACTCCTAGTCCCTGCCTAGAGACAAACCCAGCCTCACCAGCTGAAGGGTCTGGACTTGTACCCTCTTCCCAGAGTCAGCCATCTTCAGCCCTCTGTGACCTGCTTTCTCATGGCCACTCCCCCACTACAGACTTTCCTCAGGATCCCCAGGCTCCCTCCATTCAAGTCCTTCCTGAGTCCTGCTACCCAGACATCCTTTGTTGCTCAGGTAAGAACACCTTGCTTTAAAAAG